AATAGAATCAAACAGACTTCAAAGACTGCTTCTACTAATTTAGTTGATATGTACAAGGATAACTTTTTTAAGAAAATATATGTACAAGATGATGCTTTCAAGAAACGGAGAAAAAGTGTTCAATTTGTTTTCTATTATCTATCTATCTGGTAGTCACTGCTTGAAAACCTTATACAGGGTCACTATGGGTGAGAATCAACTCAATGACATTTAACAATGACAACAACAACATTTGGTAGTGAAATTTTATATAACAAATCATACACGGCTTCAACAATTTCTACATGTACAATTCAATGAAATTAATTACATTCCTCAGATTGTTTAGCCATTCTTACTATCCCTTCCCAAATTATTCCACTATCATAACATAAAGTCAACGTCTTCTAAGCAGAAATTTCCACTTACTCCATCCTGTTTTCCATCCTGTTCAGTCTCTTTGAGAGGTTTCCAAAAAGTTCATTGAAAAATCAAATTACAAACCTGCTTATAATGGTTACTGTCTGTATTTATACTTCCAACACTCATCTGTCAGTTTGTTGCATAGTGGTGTCTTGTGTGATGCTGTGTTCTAGAAGCTGCCTGTCCAAAGTAGAGTTGACCATGATTACATGAATGGAGTGAAGCTATCCGAACCTACATTTGCTGATGGAGCCAACTCATAATGAGGAGAAGCATTTGCAAACATCCATTAATAACAGGAACATGTTATTGCTGTTTTTAGGTGCCATCGAGTTGGCACCTAAAAACAACTCATAGCGACTTTATGCACAGCAGAACAAAACACTGCCTGATCCAGGGCCAACTTCACTAATGTTGCCATGCTTGAGCCCACTGATACTGCTACTTGGCTAATCCATCTCACTGGGGGTCTTTCTCTTTTTCTCTGACCTTCCACCTTACTAAACATGATATCCTTCTCCAGCGACTGACTGGAAGATAGAATGTATGAAATATGAATCTAGGAAAATTAAAAGTTTTCAAAAATGAAACGGAACATATCAACCATCAACAGTCATGGAAGCAGCAGTCAAGAAATTAAATGACTTAGTGCATTGTGTTAATTTGCTGAACAATGAACTTTAGTCTATCATCTTGGTTGACTTCAGAAGACGTCTTCATGAGGGCTCATTGAAAAATCTTTGCTTCACATTAATTTGAAAACATTTGTCCTCTGTTCCTTCTATGAGGGTGAGTCAAAAATCAACTGCCCTCCTGATATATTAAACCACCCATCCACGTCCACTGCTGATGATGCCATTAAGCATGTCATGAAATGATTCTGTTGAATACACAAGTGAAAATGGATTATGTGGCAAATCATTTGCAAATCAGCCATGGCTTTGCCTGTGAAATAGTCCATGATAGTCTTGGGTTTCAAAAAGTTTGTGTGAGATGGGTACTGAAACAACACTCCAAAGAACATAAGAAGAAGTGTTTGGACATCTGCAAACAAAATTTGGACTGATACTCAAAGGACGGTAAATGTTTCTTTTAAAAAATCTATACTGACAAAAAGATATGGATTCATCACTATGAGCCTGAGGGTAAATGGCAGAGTATGGAATGGAAATATCCTCAATTATCAACCAAAAAAAGTTCAAAAGTCAACCATCATTTGGAAAATTGATGCTTACATTTTCTGGAATTCTTAAAGGCCAGTATTGAGAGACTATCAGGAAAATGATTCAGCAATCAACTGTGCTCATAAAGTAAGACACTCATAGAAGAGCTGTGGCCTAAACTTTGGGTAAAATGCAGAGGACAGCTATCAGGGTCTGAGACCGGCTCAGATCACTGCGTGGGTTACTCGAAGGAAGGAGAGGTGAGGATTAATTAATCAGATAAGGATCAACAGGCTGATGG